CATTTAAGCTACATTAGTACAATGATCGAATAATTCCTCTCGAATCTTATAGATCAAATTCTCAGTCGTGCTATTTGTACTGTTACGATTAAAGAAAACGACGTCTTTCTAATATATTTCGAAATAAATTGCATTCAAGAATTTCGATAAACTCTCTATAAGTTTGAACTCGTGAACTCCGAAAACGTATTGGATTTTTTTCCACAGCATTAAGTTTTTAGGATGATTCTTATAGTAAATGAAAATTAATTTGAGAAAAATAAGAAACAATATAAATCTGTTCTTTTTTGTTTTCCTAGGATTTTGTATAGTTATATCAAATGAAACAAATTAAAATGACATTGAAACAACACCTAATACAATTTATGAAAAAAGTCTTTTATCATGCTTCTAATAATCAACCATATTCAATTGCATTCATAGATTCTATATCAATATATTTTGATAAAATACAAAATTATGTTGAATTAACATGTCAATTTTCAACAGGTGATATACATGATTTATTACGTTTTATAATATTTATATCAGAAATAATTTCTATAAATATATTTCAAAAAAAAAGCATCATTTCTTAGTTATGAAACAGATCAAATAATATCATGTTGTACATTATCGAGAACACTATTATCAATATTTGAATATATTTATCAACGACATGGTTTAACTATATCAAATATATTATAATCATATATTAATTTAATTGAACCAGATAAAAGATCTTGTATTCAATTATTACTTTTATTATTTAATGATCTTGATCATCTTTATTATTTAACAAGAAAAATTAAATATGTATATACATACCATATATTTATTGACATGATTTATATTGTATCAAATAGAAAATCTAGTGTTTCTCTGACTTTGATTTTATATATAATACATGCAAACTATCTTATTTCATAGAGATAAAAGTTTATATCAATAATTTCAAATATATTCTATCAATCAAAAAATTAGAGTATGAACATTTTCTTTGCTGGCATCCATCTTTAAAAATATATAATTTAGAGTTTATTTGATCGCTTATTTTTTCATCATGGTTTTGATTTAACATTATCATTACAAATTCTAATTGAAATATATGTAATATAAATTAATAGGTTCAATTATATATCTATCTGATTTATTTGTACATGGTTTGATGAAGATGATTTAATGATATCCTTAATAAGTTATAATTTATGTAAATCTAGTATATTACTGGAACAAAGAACAAAAGAATATAATGACTTATACATAAATTTAATTGAACGTAATTATAAATTAATAACTAAAACTCATACATATGCATCATATTTATTTTTACTTGAAAGTCATGAAGTTGATTTAAATTTATACGATATTTTGTTATTATTAATTAAAGATGATGATTTAACACAAAAAATTATATCAATTAGTCTTGAAAAACTTTTAATAGTTGGTCAATATCCCAAAAATGATATATGGTGTTAATACTTTCACGTATTTATACATTATTACAACGACCAAATAAAAATACAAATTCATTAAATAATGAACATGTTAATAAAGAACAAACAATAATTGATAGTTCATCAATAATATCATCATCAGATAATATTCTTATTGAACTTGTTGAAGAATTATATGCACATACAAAACAATCATCAACATTACCATATGAAGCTTTACTTTTATTACGTCCTTTATCATTATTACTTGCACACATTAGTTTTTTTTTTCGTGCTTTAATTAATGCACGTTATTCAGCTAAAGTTAATGAATGGACTTTATTATCAATGACAAATATTGCACAAAGAAAAATCACTATGTATGGCTATATGGGAGTTAACTTGTCTTATGTTAAGTGCATGTCTATCACAGGGTGTGGGTGTGGGTGAAGACAAGACCTATAATGATACCCACACCCACACCCTCTTATGAGTAAAATTCTGCCTATGGTTAAATATTCTTCCTAGTTTTCTTTTTAAAAATTATCAAGACCTACACATACGATTAAAATTTATTTGAAAAAGATAAATAGTAAAATAGTAATGAAAAACAAAAACTCTTTATTGCAATCCGAAGGAATGACGATCAATACAAAATCAATAAATTTCGCCATGAAATGTCAAAATGAATTTTCATTAGTATATCTTTTACTTTTTTAGGTTTTTATTGATGTTATCACGTTTCAGTGTTCGTTTCGAAGAATCAGACAATCGTTTATTTCTTATTGCTGATCGAAACTAGTATCTGCAGGTATATTAAAAGAAAACTTGCAAATATCAATTGTATCAACAAAAAAGCAAAATCTGTTTTATTTATTTTAGTTAACAAATATTGAACATTGACGTCCATATGAACAAGCATTCACACATGAATCGAATCCAGAAAAATTATATGTTGATTTACTTGAACACGTTCAAAATACGGTGTGGATGTAGATGTTGTTTGGATACGTTGATGAATCATATATTCTCTCTCTCTCTGTCATCCATACCCACACCTTCAATAAAGACTAAAAATATCAGTTGATAAAATGGAAACTTAGCAACAAGAATTAATTTATTTACTTTTTTTCTTTTTACTAGAATCTGTCTCTATTATAACAATCATATCTAAATTTTCTAAAACCAATCAGAATAGATTGTCATTTATTTTGTGCTCTAATTTCTGTTTGGCTTATTGATTTATATTTCATATCGTATGTTTTATTATGATTTCAATCATTGATTTAACTAGTAAATAAGTCGATTACATGTATCCATTAAACATATTTTAACCATTGAAGTTTTAACGAAAACTTTTTTAAATCATGTCGTTAGAGTTTAAGAGAAAGTTGCACAAATCTGGATAAAAACTTGCATTTATAACCAGTACTTTTTATAATATCAAGAAGAATGTGAGTATAGATGTTGATATTCTGTTTAACCATATCTACAATCTTTGAATCGTTTTGGTTTAGTAGATTATCTGTAAAAGCAGCTACCATACTTCATCCTATTGAAAATGATATATTCAAAAAGTCTCACACTACACCATTGTTTCTTTTTATTCAAATAACAATTCTTTTTTCTTGATTTATTATTCGTATTTTTTATTATTTTATTATCAATACAAAAAAAAATTTCATAATAAAGAAAAAAATTGAATATTTTAATGTAAAAAGCAATTCATCATTAACAGTATTTAACGATAACTATCAGAAAAGGAGTCAAACCAACTTCCACAGGTTCGAGTTCAGTTCGATGCCTGACAAGCGCGGTATTATCCTGTAAAATTATTTTAGATTGTAAATTTCTGAGAATTTTTTTAATGAAAGCATAAGTTAAAACTCAACAATACAATCAGCAAAATGCATGATTTCAGAAAAAATAAATCATAAATAATGAAAATTCGATCATCACTAAAGAATATTCTGTAAGAAAATGATCGCACCATGTTCCTGTTACATTCTAAAGATGCTAAAAGGCTTGTAAACACATTCTAGCATACTTCAAACATATTTAGATTTTATTTTAAATTTATTTAACTTTTTTAAAATTTATTTCTGGATTATTGGTAAATGTTTATAAATGTAAATTGATCGCTTTGCAAAATATTCCATCGAACATCGTTTGATAATCACATATAACAACACAACTTTACAAAAATGATTATATCTTAGCTAATCATTTTTTTTTCATATGCCTATCTATATTTATTCATTTTTTCAAAATTTCTAATATCTGTTTATGGAAGAAATCGTTGTTTCAATGAATAGTATGATGTTGAATCCTGTTCTATTTTCATTACTGAGAATAGGAGACGATTAGCTTCAAAACTTTTTTTCTCACAATCTACTTTCGTGATTTAAATTTTGTGTTCTAACTTATTTAACTTTGTTTCAAATATTTTTTTTGTTGTTGACACAGTAAACTTTGCATACATGTGACGAAATAAAATAAAGAAATTTTTTTCTCGTAAAATTTAATTTAAACAGAAATATATACAATAAGATGTGAGTTTTCGGTTCATATACAAAGCCATACATTCTATTGTCTAGGAATTCGCTGTATTCTTCACTTTTTCTTCTGGAGAAGTGTTTCTTTTCTTTTTTGATTTTGGGACAATTATCAATTTAGTTTGCGTTTTATTTCAACAAGCAAGTCGTTGCAAATCTTCTAGATTAAGAAAATAGTTTTCCACAGTTACAGTTTATTGTCTGTCTCTTCTGAATAGATCCATCAATCTCACCCACATTTTTCTAGCTAATAATTGTCATTGATATCTACTTTTAAGAATCATCAGGATCATAAACTCGATCATTCGATTTTATTGCCACACATTTAATGTCAGCAAAGTCTATTTTATTGTAATATAAGATTACCTGATTTTCTCCAATATGTCATTTCTTGAACTCTTGTAAAGACATCCTTTCTCAGGCATTCGCCGTCGACGAAATTCAGTTGGAATATAAATTTTTCAAAAGTTATTCAAAAATAAAAGAGAACTTTGCAAGGTCACGATCTTTAAAATGATGATGCTGAAACCTTGCAGAACGCTGGTAGAAGTAGTTAATAGTTATGTCATTGATTGTTTTAAAAACTATGCATTGAAAACAAAAACAAAAAAACATGTCTGTTAACTCCTACTGAAGTATTCGCTAGTCAAAGAAACATTTGAATCATTATCCTTAATAGTTATTTTCATACAATGTTGTATTTGTACACAAATTTTTTGATTGCTAGTAAATTTATCAATAAAAATCTTGAACAAACTGTTCAAATTCTTCTGAAAAGTCGTGATTTTTATAAATTTACTTATGCACTCATATAAAAAAGTGTTTTTTCTTAACTACTGTTTCCTCGTACATTGAGATAAGTCCAGTGAGTGATAAAGTTAATTTCGCCAACTGTTGTCTTTTAAAGAAGACTCATGGTTTCACAGACTACGCATGCCTTTTTATTTTCATATCGAATATAATTGTTGTTGCTCTTTTCAAGGAACTATTGCCTTTAGTCAATTACTTTTTGGTTAAAGAAAAGCATCAAATTTTGATAGCATTTGATATCAATATTTTCGAAATAAATCATCAGTTGAGGAGAAAGTTAGGAGATTTACAAAACTTTCACTTTGATCTGCTTATCTATAGATGACTGAATCAATTTGTTTGATCTGCCTTCTCTATT